CACCTAAACATCAGATGCTGGTTTTAGTCATAAACACAAGTGCAGTATGTCTTTCCAAGTCATGCCATCTTATGCTCTCGTCAGAAATTATTAATTAGACTTATTATTAATATTTTAAATGTGCATTTATATATAGGCTATCACTATTTATGAACTCTGTTACTGTGCTTCATTAAGATATAAACTAAATTATGCTTTATATTTTAGGCCTATTCCTGGTTACAAGAAGAGATGGGACCGGATTCTGACCCTGTGGTAGTTATAAGATTTTTGGGATCCACTGAAACAAGTACAGATCTAAAGCATATACTTCAAAGCATTTGTGAACAATTGGCAGTCAACTATCGTTGCCTCGTACAAAGTTACCCAAAAAAGATTCATGACCTTCGGGACTTGTTCATAAATCTCTTGAATGAGTCTTCATTTCACAGGCCACTGGTGATTATATTCGATGCCCTAGAACAGCTAACAGATAGTGATGATGGTAGGAAGCTGTGGTGGCTTCCCATTCACCTTCCCCGTTCAGTACGGATAATTTTGTCAACACTGCCAAACAAGCATGGGATCCTGCAAAAACTGAGGTGCCTTATTCATGATGAAAGCAACTACATTGAATTGACAGCAAGGGACAGAAAGATGTGTAGTCAAGTACTGAAGCATCAGCTCCTGCGAGTTAAAAGAAAAGTAACATCAGGGCAACAAATCTATGTCAATGAGGCATTCTCCAAGTGCACACTGCCTATGTTTGTGAACTTAACCTTCAGAGAGGTCAGGAACTGGAGATCTCACAAGGATGTGGATGAGTCCTCCCTCTGTGTCACTGTCCATGAAAGCATAGAACAGTTGTTCTGGTCACTGGAAAACAAGTGTGGATCAAGACTATTGTCAAGAGCACTTGGCTACATTACTATGGCCAAGTCTGGCCTGAGTGAAATGGAACTGGAAGATATTTTAGCCCTGGACAACAGTGTTATGTATGAACTGAGTGAGAGTGTCAGAGAAAGTAACCCACTGAGAATTCCATACATATATATTGCAAGGCTTAAGGAGGGTTTACAGGGGTACTTAATAGAGCGACAGGTGAAAAATGTAACGTTGCTTCTTTGGGCAAATAGGCACTTGCAACTAATTGCCCAGAAATTGTACCTGCACAACGAAGAAGACACGCGTGAAATGCACACAGTCATGGCAGAGTATTTCCTCGGGGTTTGGTCAGGTGGACGAAGAAAACCTTTTTACAGCAATGACCAATATCCGAGTGGTTGTCCTGACCATGACAGTAGAGGCCTGAACAAGGATGACAAGCACTGCATGGATCAGGCTGCTTTTGACAGGCAGGCACCAGATCAGCCATGGGTCTTTCAGTGTAATCCATTAGAACCCGATATCTTTTTTATCAATCACAGAAAAATGACTGAGCTTATTCATCACCTAACGAGATGTGGAAGAACTGATGATCTTTTGTACGGTGTCATTATGAACTTCAGCTGGCTGTACACCATGATTAGAATAGGGCAGTTTGATAAGGCACTTTCTGACATAGAACTGGCTTATACCTACTCTCAAGAAAAGGAGCTGAAATTTCTGGCCAGTACCCTCCGCAGTATAAAGCTCAAAGTAGTAAAATACCCAGGTTCACTCTCTGCTGAATTGCAGCAGAGGCTTCTCCCAGTAGTAAGTTCATTGCCCAAACTCAGACATCTCCTCCTAGAATGTGACAAGGATGGACCCAAGTACTGCTCCATCGTCCCTTTGCATTCCTCCATGGATGTGACTTACAGCCCTGAGCGCTTGCCTCTGTCATCCAGCTGCATGCATGTCACTGAGATTTTGCCTACTTTTAATCCCAGCACAATTATTGCTGCTTTAGAAAATGGCTCCATCAGCACTTGGGATGTAGAGACTCGCCAGCTACTAAGGCAAATCACAATAGCTCCGTCTGTTATCTTAGGGATGAAGCTTACTAGTGACGAAAAGTATCTTGTAGTGGCTACAACAAACAACACTCTTTTGATATACGATAACATAAATTCCTGTCTTCTGTCTGAGGTGGAAATTAAGGGGTCGAAACACTGTGGAATTGGGGGAGGCTCCAGTTTTATAAATGGATTTACATTGTCAGTCAACCATGCGCTTGCTTGGCTGGAGGCCAGTAAAGATGTTACTGTCATAGACCTGCTTTATGGCTGGCCTCTCTATCAGTTCCACTGCTGGTATGAAGTGACCTGTGTGCAGTGTTCTCCAGATGGAGTTTATGCATTCTGCGGACAGTATTTGAACACCGCGACCATTTTTCACTTGGGCAGTGGAGAGAAACTGGCCACTGTGACCTCTGAATTTTCTAGTGGATTTGTGAAATTCCTTCTCATTCTTGACACAGCCCAAGAAATGGTGATGGTGGACAATGAGGGTAGCCTCTCTGTTTGGAATACAGAGGAAATCGCAAGTCCCCAACTGACAGATGATTTTGACTGCAGGAGGGAAGACACTGAATTTGTCAGCATAGAGCTTTCTGAAGACCAAAGTGCAATTTTAATTTGTAAGGCTCTCAGCATTGAACTTCTTGACACTCGTGTGTGGAAGGTGACTGAAAAATTTAGAGCTAAACACAACGAGCGCTTTATATCTGCCGTGTTGTCCAAAAATGGCAACTGTATAATTGCTTCAATGGAAAATACCTCAGCCATTTTTGTTTGGAGAAGAGATACAGGACAGTGTATGGCAAGCTTACAGGAAATCTCAGGAACTATAGTCAGGCTAATTAAATCAAATCATCACAACATGCTGCTATCCTTATCCACCAGTGGTGTCCTTTCTATTTGGGATATAGACATCATAACTGCTATGTCCAATATTGACAAGTCTGGCAAGCCTATCCAGAGACTAGTGTTGCCAGCTAGAGGTGAATTAATATACACATTGGATGGATCAGATTCTGTCCATAAGTGGAACTTCAGCACTGGATTTATTGAAGCTGTGTTCAAGCATGAAGGTATTGTTGAAAACTGTGTGCTGACCTCTTCTGGAGAGATAATGGTTACATCAGATGATAAATGCAGCCAGTACGTATGGCACACGGTTAGTGGTGAAAATATCTTTCGCATTAATGGGCAAAAAATCTCAGAGCTAATGATTACTCATAACGATCAATTTGTAGTCTCTCTCTGCGAGCAAAATGCATCCAGAGTTTGGCGACTGGCTACAGGACATAGGGTTTGCAATATTTTAGTTGCCTTACAGAATGCATTTATAACAACTGCAAACACATTCGTAGTGGGAATGGCAAAGAACAAAGTGTTGGCAGTGAGTCTCTGGACAGGCAGTATAACAAAGAAGTTTTGCTGTGATGATGGTGCAAGCATAGTAGATATTAAGCTGATACCAGACTGTCCAGATATTATAGTATTTATAACATCTACTGAAACCGTGAACATCTGGAGCCTAACAGAGGAAGTCATCTGCAGACGTGTGCAACTGCCTACCAATTTCTTGAAAAAATTGGAAGACTTCGAAGTATCTCCAAACGGGAAGCTAGGAATTATAACCCGTGGTGATGAGAACATCAACGTGCTTGATTTATATAGTGGCAAACTGCGTGTGGTTCATGCTCCAGGTGTCATCTGGAGGCAGAGGCTGTCTCGTGATGGTCGCTACCTTGTGTACATTTGTTTTCGTGGTGAAGAAGATGATGACAATGGTGCTGTCTCTAGCTTAATTGTAATGAGGCTAGCGGATGGCAAAAACATCGGTGCCTGCTCTCTTTATAAAACTCCCACTTTTCTTGCACTCTCACAGAGACATTTAAACATCATTATTGGATTTGATGATGGAAGTATAGGTACTTACACTGTAGTGGATCGAGTCGACGCTGCACTGAAAATCAAAATTGCTACTTCAAACAGCCGTCAGATTTTCAACAACACAGCACAAGTGATTAGGCCAAAATGTCATAATTATAGCTTCAAAGCGACTGCAGACTGCATTTGGAGGGAATCAACAGAAGTATTTGCAAGGGATAGCCCCATTACTGTTACAGAGGCTGAGGTGAGTGAAGCAACACCAACCAAAAAACACAACTATTGCTACGAGAAAGTGTGTTCAGCCATAGATTGCAGAGGACACAGTTTTACCTCTGACAATTAAGTAACCATCTGGAGGAGCTTATCTGAATAGTATACTTGCATAAATATGTCTTCTGAATTCACATAAAAATCAGTGCATTTCTTGGAAGACAGAAACAGCAGAGGGCAGACCAGCTGGGTTTTCCTGTCTTACGTTTATGTAAACATAAAAGCAAACATAAAGCAAATGGGCTGCAGGGGGTTTTTTAATTTCGGAATACAAGGTTCAGTCCAAGATTTCACCAGGGCCTTGATTAAAAATTTCTAGCAATACTATCAAAATTGTTATGCTGTTACAGAAGTTAGGTGATCATACCTGGGTTTGACAGACTGTTTTAACTAGAACTAAAGCTCCACATGATCAGAGCTGAGAAAGGTCAGACCACTATTTTATATTCCAAGTCACCTAGATGGGTCTACAGCTAACAGTCAACTTTATACCCACTTGCAAAAATGTCTTTTTCTGCTTGATGGTGCAATGACAAGATGTCACCTGCCAACCTGGAACACTTGATACATTCCATCATCATTTTAAAAATATCTACTTTTATTTTTCTTTTTAATTGGGATTAATCTTTGTGTTGAAAGGTGTAGGTTCCTGTCAGCTGCAAACACATCAGCATGTGAGGCAACAAGAATTTGTTCACCTTAATGAACAGACTGAAAGTTTTTTTCTTAATTGCATGCAGAGATTTCAGGTTTCTGTATTGTGATAAAAATGATAAAATTCCTAGGTTGTACAAGAAGTTGTTGTGAGAAAGTCTAAAGTATCTCCCATGTTCCCAAAGTAATCTCAATAGTTTTCAGACATGCCATGTATTAATCCTTAGAACATTTGCCTTACTATCATTTCTGTTCTTTCCCATGATAAATACTTATCAAATGACCAAACACTCTGGGACTATTTGTGTATGTGCTGAAATACTCCACTAAATGTAAAGGCTGTCCAAAGGTCCTTTACTGGTCCAGTTTGTAATGTTTTTTTCTTACTTCCACATATGTACAAGCTTCACTTTCTGCTTTAGAACTGTTCTGAGCCTTTTGTACAGTTTTACCAGTTTCAAGGCAGAAATTGTGAAATAATGACAAATGCTGTAAAAAAAATTTACATTTGCATTTTCCCAAGTAAAAATGTATACAGTACAACGTGTGAAAGGGTAAGAAAAATTTTCCCTCCTTACATATCTTAAAGATGGCACACCTTGGAAATATTTTGAAATAATTTAAACAGAATAATTTTATTTATAAAATCAGAACTCCATGTCAAAAATTTCCAAGAAATGTATGCTAAGCTAGAACTTAATATAGTGTGTGAATGTTCAATGTACAAGCCAATATAGTATATTAAGTGACTTGAATGATTTTTTCCTAACTTGTTTGCAACTAATAGATCATATTGAATGTTTTTATGTAAACTTTGTATTGTTGGGAAAAAACCTACCCAGAGATTTATATTTTCATAAATGTTAAATTTAGTTAAATTTTGTTACAGAGTTGTTAAATTAGAAATCTCTTGCAGTCTTCAAACAATATACAGTCTTGTGTATGCATTGTTTGTACTAATAAACTATGTAAGCAGATTTGTGCGTGTGACTTAATTTCAGAGCAGTTTCACTCTAGCAGAGGGACACAAGACCTTCAAAGCTCCCTCTGACCTGCACTTAAGTAATTTTTAAGGGCTATAATCATATGAAAAAACTCCAGTATTTTACCCATTTCAGTTCACTAAATCAAGCTGTGCTGGTTTGAGCTGAAGGAGAGTTAACTTTCAAAAGATCTATGGGATTTGCCAAAAAAACCCCACGCTTAGGTGCTGTTTTGACTAGATTGCATCCTGCCATACACACCTACCCATTAGAAAGCACAGTAGAGAGGATCCCCTGAAATCCTCCTCCCTTTCATACCTGTGGAGCTATGGGAAGAGGCTGTGGGATCCAAGATCCTGTCCTGAAGGTAAGCAACTTCTGCCTTCTTTCAAACATGGTGTATGACTCACACATTTCAGCCTTGAACTCCTTGTGAATAACCTGTGTAATATTGGAAAATTAATTCCTTCATTATTGTGGAAGATTAAAGAATACATCTCTTGTCTGCCAGGAGAGTGGCTAACTTTGGGTAATAATGGAGTATAATGTAGAAACAAAACAAATCACAGAAACAGAGAAATGTTCTTCCTTTTTAGGAAGGACTACCAGAACCCAGTTGGTCCCAGTTCAGCAGAGTGGTTTATCAATAAGAGTACCCAGACTTGCTCCTGTTTGTTTTCTGGCTCCATGAATTTTGTGGTCTTCTCCACAGGGGCATGGATTCTTGGGGCAGGAGATAGTCCCCAGGACAACAGAGAAGTGGCAAAAAAAAAAAGTGAGAGCAGTCTTCTCAGGCCAAACAGAATTGATTTCAGGCCTAGTCTAGTTGGTTAAAGCAATAGGCTGACACATGAAAGTAGTGAGGCTTTATGGAAAAAGGCATGGGTGTTCCTGCTTTGAACTTTGGGGTTTTTATGTTCCGTATAAGGACAGCAAGAGTGGGACAGCACTAGGATTTTTCTTAATTGTAAAACAGCAAGAAAGACAAACATGACTATGATTCCTAATACACTTAAGCCCTTCAGCAAAGTGTTGGGCTCCTAATCTCAGAGAAGGATGCTCTCTAGGTCATGTCCCTCCTCACAGTTCATCTGTGCCTTAACAGATAGCCTATTTCGTTCAGCTTTCTGAATCAATTCCTCAGGGGTCAGACTCCTCACACTGAGCCTAAGTGGCAGACACAACGTTCTGAATGACACTCAGCTGCTCAGTGTCCAAATCCTTGTTACTGTGAGAGCGAGTGCTCCACAGCCCCTCACAAATCTGTCCCCAAATTTGTCTGTCCAGTGGTGTGGGGACAAAGTAGTTTCTCCAATAATGAGCCATCCAAATGCCAAGTGCAGTTCTGTCTTTACCTAGGAGTAAAGCAATTTACTTTCTTTTAAGCAGCTCTATTTGCATATCTAGAACAAAGCACTAATTTATTCTTTAGACAAAGTGCATCAATAAACAGGTTCAGATGGAGGTTCCATATTTTCTGACACATAAGATTCTAGGAATAGGCTGTAGCTGCAAGAAAGCTTTAGCAGGGAATTAGCCGGAAATTCTTTGGCAGACAAAGGTAAGCCAGAGGTCAGCTAGAAAAAATATTTTTATCAGTCATTTCCTTTGCACCGCAGCTGGGGAATGCATGGCCCGTGACTTCATTTCAAACAGCCTGTGGCCATTCAGCTTTTTTTCACATTATTGTCAGATAACATCAAAATGTGAGTTAACATGTAGCCTGGAAAAGTTAGCATTCAGAAGGCATTCAGGTTTCAGTGGCTCTCCAGCCTTGATTTCTCCAGGCTGCAGACTCAAGCCTTGTGCAGACGTTTTAGCCATCTTCCAAAGAGAATTTAAAGCAACTAAAATTGATTGTGATTGCTAAAATGGATTTCATATGCAGAGGAGACTGTTTCAGCTTAAATTCCTAAGAGTTTTCCCTTTGTCAAAAACTGCACGTGTGTCTGTATGATGCATCAAAAAACAGATCTTTTGGAGCCTTACTATAAGCTACTAACAACAATCTACAATCTAATCTTGTTCATTAAAGATTGAAAAATACCTGGTTTAATATAAAGACTGTAAAAGGACAGACTTCTGAAGTCTATTTATATTTCTTCTAATGATAAAATCAAATACATCTTTTTTATGCATTATTTTTTATGTAACCATAAATTTGATTATGTAATCATCCTAATGTGGACTAGGGCCTTTAGATAGATTTTGTTATCAAGGATTTGTTGCTAAGGATTGTAATCAAGAATTTTTGCTAAAAATATGACCTACTTCAAGTTCTTGTACCCTGTTACGGACATTACTCAAGATCTTTTCCTGGATCACCACATGGCTGCAGGGAGAATAGTGAACTACATTTTTTCCCTGTGGTTTACCTTTCCAGCCTGGTTACTCAACACCTTTCCTTGCAATTTCAGTGTAGTCTCCTAACTTATATGACATGAAGTGATGCACCCAGTGTGGGTTTATTCATCATCTCAATTCTTAATTTCAACAGGAAGGTCAAAGGCTGCAGAAATAGTCATCACAATCCTTCCCAAGGCAGGATGTGGCATTTTATCATGCTTATCCAGAAGGGGCAGTTTGCACCACCACCTTTCTGTGTAAAAGGGCCTTTCTCAATCAAGGACAAGTTATGCAAGTGCTCAATTCACTTGAAAACACAAGCCAATAACTAGAAAGTGAGGGAATGTTTCCTCAAGATATCCAGTCCAGCATAATGTACTTTTAGATCACACATGGTTCCCAAAGTGGCTGTTAAAATCTGCCCCTGCCAAGTTCTCCTCCCTACCTCTGCTGTCCCATCATCCCAGGCCCATGCTGCTCTTGCTTATCAGACTGGGTGATGCTCCCAACCCCACTCAGCAAAGCTCCTGACATGTTCCCACCCATGGCACACTTTCTGTCCTTTTGGCAGCCCATTGGTCTCCTATCCAGCCTCAGTAGGGAATATGCAAAAGTAGATTTAAGGCATGTTCACATGTTCCCACTGTCAGAGCTTTCACCACACAATACTGTATAAATAAAATCATCTCCCTGTTTTCCTGCCACATCTCAGATTCCACACACTTTCCAGTTCATGTGAGAAAGCTCCGAGACTGAAATAGATCTATTCAGCATATTTAAAGTGAAATACACAGAATTGTAAGGTGAGAGAGAAAGCAAAAATCCAAACATGCTGCAGCACAGATGAAAACAGAACATCCCCAAAGCAACAAAATTGTTTGCTGCTATTTGTCTACATTATCCCATTGCCTGTTAGTAAATTGCCCAGCACTTCCCGCTGTAATATCACATTGTGAAGCCACAAAGTTAACCTTTTGGGCTGCAATTTTTTGAGGCAACCTTCTATCTCA